GTTTTTAGAAAATTTTAACAGCTTTGCTGAGGTACGCCATACACATGCTGCACAAATCACCCATTTAAAGGGACCATTCAATGGTTTTTAGCATACTCAGAGTTAAGCAACCATCAACACAATTTTAGGATGTTTCCATCAGTCTGAACAGAAACCCCACGCCCTTTAGCATTTGTTACAATGCCACTTATTTAGTTTCCTAATACAGTGGCACTGTAACAAACCGCCACAAACTTGATGGTTTAATCACACCTGCAAAGACCCTTTTTTCCAAGGAAGGTGACCCTCACAGGCTCCAGGGCCTTGACTTGGATGTTTTTTAGGTGGCCATTTTGTCAGCTTTCCATACTCCCCATGCCCCCAGCCCAGACCTGATTCACACACCACACAGAGCTACAAATTCTAGTATATTTGCAAGGTTGTGCAACCATCACCGCTATCTAATTCCAGAGCATTTTCATCAACCCCAAATGAAACACCACCTATCAGCAGTCATGCCTCATCTTCCCCCTTCTCCAGCCCCTGGCAGCCACTAACCTACTTTTCGTCTCTGATTTGCCTATCCTGGACATTTCCTGTAAGTGGAATTAGACAATATGTGGTCTTTTGACTCTGACTTCTTTCTTTCCCTTACCATAATGTTTTCAAGGCTCTTTTGTGTTGTAGCATATACCAGTACTTCATTCCTTTGTGGCTGAATAATATTCCATTGTATGGCTATAACACATTTTAATTATCCATTCTTTGGTTAATGGATATTTTTGTTGTTTCCACTTAGTGGCTGTAATGAACGGTGCTACCCTGAACACTCATGTATAAGTTTTTGTGTGGACATATGTCTTAGCTGTATGCCTAAGAGTGGGAGAAATGTTGAGACTGTTTTCCATTTTACATTCCTACCAGCAGTGTACGAGAGTTCCAATTTCTTCACGTCTTCACCAAAATTTATTGCCTGTCTTTTTTATTATAGTTACCAGTGGATGTGATGTAATACTTCACTGTGGTTTTGATTTGCATTTTCCTAATGGTTACTGTTGCTAACTAAGCATCTTTTCATGTGTTTATTGTTCATTTGCATATCTTCCCTGGAGAAACACCTATTAAGATCCCTTGCACATGTTTTAATTGGGTTTTCTTTTTATTATTGGGCTTTAAGGGTTCTTTGTGTATTCTAGATCCAAGCGCCTTGTCAAAGAGAGGTTTTGCAAATATTTTTTCCAATTCTGTGAGTTGTCGTTTCACTTTCTTAATGGTATTCTTTGAAACATAAAAGTTTTCAATTTTGATGAAATCTAACTTTTCTTTTATTACCTGTACTTTTAATGTCATAATTAAGAAACCGTTGCCTAGTACAAGATCACAAAGTTTTACTCCTGTTTTATTCCATGACCTTAATAGTTTTAGCTCTTAAATTTCAGTCTTTGGTACATTTTGAGTTAATTTTTGTGTATGTTGAGAGGCTGGAACCCAGTTTAATTCTTTCGCACGTGGATATCCAGTTGTCCCAGCCCCCCACGGTTGAAAGGACTATTCTTTACACCACGCGCACGCGCCCCGCCCCCCCATTAATGGTTTTGTCACGCTTGTCAAAAACTGATTGACTGTTAAGTGTGAGGGTTTATTTCTGGACAGTCAGTTCTATTCTGTTGATCTCTTTGTCTCTATCTTAATGCCACTACCACACTGTCTTGATACCTGTAGCTTTGTTGTAAGTTCTGAAGTCAGGAAATGTGAGTCCTCTGGTTTTGTTTATTCATCCAAGTTGACTGCTCTGGCACACAACACGCTCTTCAGACATACTTATTGCTTGGTCACTTGCTTTCTTATTTCCTTGAAGAGTAATAGGGCAAGCCTATGAGAGTCTATCTGGCCTTCATCGTTAGGTAAAAATGTCCTCTTCCTCCGCTTCAGCTTCCCCTTCACAAGGCATCTGGCCAGTAGAGATGTGGACCGTCCTGGCTGGGCTGTCTTAGCCCAGGACAAGGTAGTGAAAGAGCAGATATGCCGGGATGCATCTGGCCCCTCAAGCAGGAGATCTAAGTTCAACTAATCGTCCTCCCGCCCCATCCCAGCCCTCCTTCCCCTTTCCTTGTCTCACAGGGTCGGTGCTTGGGTGGCTGTAAGTCTATCTGGATCCACGTGTAGCCAGCACACCAGCTCTCCCCTGTGCCTCTGTTTCTCCCATCACTCTCCTACCGCATCCTAAGCATGATTCAGGGCCAAAGGGTGTTGGAGGGAGAATGTCTGTCAGGCGGGGCAGGTGTGGCAGACTGGTCTTCCTGGTGGCATCTCTGGGCAGCTCCGTGTGCCTTTGATGGACCCAATCCGAGTGTTACCTGAGCTGCAGGCACTGATTTTGCTGGTACAGGAAGGTGTACCCTCCCCTGTGGGGCTCTCAGTCCTTTCCTTAAGGAGACGATAAAAAAGAAGGGTGGGGAGAGGGGTGTGAATCAGAGGGCAGATCTTTTAGAAAGGTTTCAAGATAAGCAGACCTGCTGCTGGTACCACAATACTAAGGACTTACAGCTTTTACCTTTTTTCAAAATATGGCCCTCAGCTGGGAGCTTTTTTAATGACTGAAAGTGATAAAACCAAGTCTGACTTCTTCATCTCCATGGGGTGCTGGGAGTGTTTCTCCATTGCCTCTCTGCAGGGTAGGGGACAGCCTGTGCACTGAGGTCAGTTTGGCCCAATGCCACCACTACTGACTATGTGAACTTGGGCCTGTTTACCCAACCTCTGTGAGCATAGCTTCCTCATTTGTTTAATAGCGATACTTCCCTCATGGTGGTGGGAGCAATTAGGTTTCAATAGAAGGAAAGTGTTTATTATCAACAGTAATACTAGTTAACCATTTATTGAATGCTTTCTTTGTGGCAACCCCTATGTTAGTGTTCAAACTAAATTAAGTGGGGCAAAGGAAAGATTTCTTGATCTCCAGAGCCATAAACTGGAATGATTTGAGCATCTGCTATGTGTTTAATCCTATACTGGTCTTCATGTGAATGTTTAATTCTTCAAGGTTTAAAAGAAACCAATTAATTCTACCTCCACCCCATACAGATTCTAAATCAGTTGAGAATTACACAGAGGAGTCAGGTAGAAATAAAAACAGGGACTGTACCATAGGTGAAGGCTGGGCCAACACCTGACTCAGACCTACAGCCAAAATGCACCTTCAGCCCTGGCTGGGGTGGTTCACTTAGAGCATCGTCCTGTAAACCAGAGGGCTGCAGGTTTGATTCCCAGTCAGGGCACATGCTTGGGTTGCAGGTTCAGTCCCTGGTTGGGACGCGTACAAGAGGCAGCCGGTCAATGTTTCTCTCCCTCTCTCTAATCGTCCCTTCCTCTCTCAAAGGAAGGAAAGAAAGAAAAAGAAAAGAAAAAAACCTTCCTACACACTCCTCTTTGTTTCCTAGTTAGAGCCTTGTCCCAGACTGCAGAGCCAGCAGCATGGGCCACAGGGGCACTAAGGGGCAGGTCCCTGGGGGTCGATATGTGGTGACTGAGTCAAGGCTCTGCGCCATGTCCTCTGTGTGGTCCTGGCTCTGCTAGAGGTCACCAGCCCTGCTCACCTCATCACGAGGACAGTGAGCTCTCTGGATGTTACACTAAGTCTCCAAATCCTGCTCTACATGCACTTTGAAATGTGTTGATTTCACTTTCTTTATAGCCACTTAACGTTCTGTGACTGTACACAGTGGGTTAACCTGTCTGAGCTCCATATTCCTCATCTGCGAAGTAAGGCTGCTCATATCCAACCCACAGGATGTTGAAGGACCAGAGAGAAAGTACTTGGTTAGGGCCTATCTCCTAATAGGCCGTCATAATGAACCTAAGTCTGGTTCAACACCAGGGGAACTCGGCTTCCCGTTCCAGGCACTGAGCCTTCTCCGTGTGCTGAGCATGTCTCTCTTGGGGCCAAATGGTCAGGGACAGGTCTTCGGGCTGGAGCTGGAAATGTAGATTTGGGAAAGACAAGGTGGGTTATTGCAAAACAAGCAGTGGTGCATGATGGATTTACAGAGGTTCGCGGTCCAGGCGGTGGGGTCCCAGGCCCCTGGCTCAGACCTCCTCTAGGCAGGGGGTGGCAGGGGAGGGGCTGTTGGCAGAAGAGTCAACACCCTGAGCCCCGCTCCCGGCCAGCCCATATTTAGGGCCGCCTTGGGCCCGATGGTGGAGTAAGCACTGGCTTCCCCAAGGCACCCACTTCCTCCCTCAGCCGCCTGCACCCAGCCAGCTAGGAAGAGGGGTGTCTGAAATATGGTTCACTCTAAGACAGAGGGCAGCACAATCTGAGCTCATTCCAGCCCACCACCTGTTGTACAGCCTGGGAACTGTAGCACAATGGTTTTTACATTTTTAGATGGTTGGGGGGAAATCAAAAGAATATTTTGTGATATGAAAATTACGTGAAGTTCGAATATTATTGGAACATAAAGAAAGTTTTATTGGGACACAGCCACAACCATTTGTTTACCTATTGCCTATGGCTTCTTTCAGCAGAGCTGAGTAGTTGTGACAGTCTAAAATATGTACTCTCTGGCCCTTTAAGAACAAGTTCGCTGATGCCCTGCTCTAAGGTGGTAGCGATTCTATGTTATATGTCCAGCGGGATTTGCAGCTGGAGGAAGGGGCAAACCAGTGGCGTGTGGGCATGGTGGCAGGCCTACAGAGGAGACGCTGGGTGGGGAGCTTTCCTGGTAGCCTTCCAGCTACACCAGACAGGCCGGATGTCTAGTCCCGCAGGTGGGGCTGCTTCTGTCCACACTGCGAGAGGCACCCTGGGAACGGTGGGGTTCAGGCCTATGACTCTTGCTGTGTAGACAGCAGGACTCAGAAGTGGATTAGTAACTTTTAGTGAGCCTGTCCCACCAGCTTCCCTGCCAGGCTGGTGGCAGTGGTTTTACCAGAGGCCCTTCATCTGCCCAGTCCCGCAGAGCCCCCTGGGTTGGCCCTGAGCAGCACAGTCACCTCTCACCTCTCTCTTGTTTCCACAGAGTTTGCCTTCTGCCAGGTGGATGCCTCCATTGCCCTGGATCTGGCCCTGGCGGTGCTGTGCGACCTGCTCCAGCAGTGGGACCAGCTGGCGCCCGGGCTCCCCGTGCTGCTGGGGTGGCTGTTGGAAGAGGGTGGCGATGACCTCCCAGGCTGCGTGGAGAGCGAGCATCAGGTAGCCCTGGGGTCTCAGGGCGGTGGAGGTGAGGTTAGAGTGTCCTAAACCCACTGGGTGCAGCACCTACCGGCATCCTTGGGCCCGATGTGCCTGCTGGGACGGTGCTTCTGGATGCTCAGAGCAATAACCGGTTAGGAAACTCTCCAGATGGCCATGGCAGCCTGCTGGGTGCCGCCGGGGCGGCCTTCACACTGGCTCTCGGGGCTCTGTTCTATGCGGAGAGAGGCCTTTGAACGAGGCTCCTTGGAAGTTGAGAGCTGAATTATGGAGAACCCTTATTAGTCAACATTGGAGGAGCCACGGGCTCACCATGGTGAGGTCAGAAAGTGAAACATTGCCAGAGAATCAGGGCCCTTCCAGGGTATTTGCTACTTGAAGAAAACTATTAGCCCCTCCAGGGGAGAGACTGTCAACGTACAGGAAAACTGAGGACTAAGACAAGCAGCAAAAGCGTCTCGAGAACTTAAATTCCTATCTACCCAGTGTCTGACTCACATGGCCTTCTTGGCATCAGCAGCAGGCAAAGTTCAAAAAGCAGCCTGTTTATGGGAAATTTAGAAATAAGATAAAGTGTCTGTGATAAAACGACCTTGAAAATGCCCAACACTATAGAAATTTGATTTCATACTCAGAGACGAGTGAGCATCTCGTTTGGTTATTTGCTGTTTGTTCTGCTGCTGAGAGTTCCCTTCCTCCCTCCTCTCTGATTTCTAGATGTACCTTTAGGTCTAGGGCCCACTCCCCTGTGGAGGTCCCCTTTTCAGCACCAGGCCCCCAAAATATCTTGACTTGGAACCACAAACACATCTTTATCAAAGGCCATGTTAAGTCTAGAGAAAAAAATTCCTCTCCAGCAGAGAAATACAAGTGAAAATAGAAGGTGACCTTCAAGGCTGCAAGTGGTTTGTATCCACTGGTGTTGACAGGTGAGAGTGGGCCCTCTCTCTGGTGGGGGAGGGGCACCATCTTCTGCACCTGGTGGGACTCTGGCCTGGACTGGGGCTTGTGAACATCCCCTGGAAGGTTGACTTTTGGCTTTTTCATTTAATTTAGGTGGAAGAAGACTACCTGTTTGAAAAAGCAGAGGTGAACTTTTGGGCCGAGACCCTGGTCTTCATAAAATACCTCTACAACAACCTCTGTCGTCTTCTCTCCAAGTCCAGTCCGCATCCCCTCAGCCCTGAGAGGCTCTGTCATCTTCAAAGGACAGCGTCAGAGCAGCGCCACCTCCTTTGCCAGCTCTTCAAAGAGCTGCCACCAACTGCTGAGTTTTTGAAGACTGTGGAGTTCACGAGACTGCGCATTCAGGAGGAGAAGACTTTGGCGTGCCTGAGGCTGCTAGCCTTTCTGGAAAGCAAAGAAGGGAAAGATACCCTAGTTCTCAGTGCTTTGGACTCTCCAGCAGAAGCAAATGAGTGAACTCTTCCAGGAACAGAAATGGCTTGTTGAATAAAGAAGACTTTGGGGGTTGTGGGTGAGGGTGGATTAGTCTCCACTAAATCTGCAGGAAATGTGTTGAACATAAATTCAACTATTTTTTTCCCTTCATACCTCCCTGACTTCGGTGGGTCTAGTCTTCTTACAGAGGAGTTTTTCTTCAGTTCGCTCATTCAAGGTAGCCTGGTTTATTGCAGCTACTGTAGGAAGTGAGGCTACCACATTGAGTATTTACTCTGTTTCCAGGTGCAGGCCACCTGCGGGCCTGAATTAGCCTTTTCGTCCGTCCCCCAGGACCTCTAATGTCCAGCCATAGCCAGCCTGCATTTTCTATGAATTGACTACACAGAATTGGGTTTTGGCACATGATTTCCAACCTCCCCCACTTCCCCATACACACACACTTATTTTATTTTGGGGGGAGGATTTTTTTTTTTTTTTTTTTTTTTTTTGGCGGCTCGATGTAGGAGCTGGGTTTGTTGGCAAACAGCCCATTTGGTCAGAATTCCAAATTTTCTTCCATTTTAGCTAAAGCAGAAATATGTTCCAAATGTTGGATCCTGAGAGTGTTAAGGATAAACTTCGCACAAATAGTTTTGTTTTTATTGCCTGCATGTGTGAGTCCTGAGTGACCTACATATGCCATCTGAATTATTAAAAGAGCCATTGAGATCTCCTGTCCCCCAAGGAAATGTTTGTGCTAATGCTAGGTTACCCGATTCTGCTGCCCATGAGAGCATAGACCCTTGGCTGATAGAAGGAACCTGGGGATAGGACAGCCAGGGTGAATGATGTCCTTTTTGATGCCTACACTGTTTCCTATCCTTTTCTTAGTGGCAATAACAAGAAGTTTCTCACTTAGAATGCCAGGAAACACATTTATACATTTCAATAATTGAATCTAGAAACCTTAAAGTGTTTTCTGCCTTCCTGAGCCCAGCTCTCTTCCTCGGACACCCAGCAGATGTCACTGTTGCATACATTTTGCTGCTGGTCCTGTTTTTTGGTTTTTTTGTTTTTTTCATTGAGTTACCACTTCTAAATTGTAATTTTAGAGTAACCCACAGACAGTTATCTTGAAATTCATAGTTTGGATGGATCATAGCCTCTTCCACATTCATTTTTTTGAAGATTTTATGTACTTATTTTTAGAGAGAGAGAAAAGGAGGGAGGTGGAGAGGGAGAAAAACATCAATGTGTGAGAGAAACATCAGTGAGCTGCCTGTGACATGCCCCTGACCTGGGACCTGGCCTGCAACCCAGGCATGTGCCCCAACTGGGAATCCAAACGGCGACCTTTCGGTTTGCAGGACGACACCCAACCCACTGAGCCACATCAGTCAGGGCCACATTAAATTGTCATCCTAGTTATCTGAATAAGCCGTTTCAGCAATAGTATGTAAACTTGGTGCAGCTTTTAGGATCTGTGAATATTTTTAAATGCTGAGGTAAGTAGTGACTTAGAATTATAATATTGGTGTTTGAGGGTCTGAAGGGGCAGGTTACAGGAGAGGCTGGTATGATCATTTCTTACTTTAGAAAGTTAGATATCATTTGTCTCTCTTTGAAAGAAAAACGCAGCCATAATGGAAGAGGCCTGGAGAAAAGTTAACTTTGTGTCCCAAGTTTTGTCCTAAAGAGAACAGGAAATTCCCTGGGTGGCTTTGCACCATTCAGGTCAAAATGTGTTCTGTTTTTGTTTTGCTTTTGGGTTTTTGGTTTTGGTTGGTTTTTGTTTTGTTTTTTGTCTTCCTGAACTAACTGCCTGGTTAGGCATCTGTGTAGCCCATACACACTTGATGGAAAGTTGCCAGCCGAACATTTCTTTTGCTCTGGGAAGATTTGACTGGTGAGAAGTCGGGATTGCTGGCATCATGTGCTGGCAGCCATGGGAGAATATGACGCCAACGCCAGCAGAGCCCGGCATTCCCTTTTTTCTCATTTAAAATGAAACAAAAGCAGTTACGTAATAAAAACATTTTCCACCAGCAGGTACCCTGTCCCAAAGCGTAGCACCGGAGCATGTTTATTATGTGCCATCTCCAGAGTCCTTCCACCAAGGCTGCAAAGTGGGTGCTCTCATAGCTGCTGACGAGGAGGAATTACCCTGGGTTTTGACCTTGGCTGGCTATGGCCAGCCTGGGAAGCAGGGACAGCTGTATCATGGTTTTGTATCAGAAATCTTGTTGATGATCTCCAGCAGCAGTGGCTAGTAAATGCCTCGCTCACACTTTTCCTGATTCCCAGAGAACCTGCGGAATACCTTACTGTCACAGCCACCCTCAAATTGTTGTTTAGGGTCATTTCTACAAAGAACAAAACAGAAGTCAGGATTCCAGGAGTGGCAGCCACCAAAGGCCAGCCCTGCCTAGGGGCCAGGGGAAGCTCGGTCAGCCCTAAGAGGTCACTAGCCTAGAGTCCAAGATTTGGTGCCCGCTAGCTCTGCATTTATGATTCTGTGGACCTCTACCCATCTGGCCATGGTCCAGAGGCTTGGCTTTCTCAGCTGTTTATGCTTTGTAAATTTGTCTTAATGAGGCGGATTCTACTTGTTTGTCTTTTAAACACCGTTAACTCATTTGCACCTTGACAAAGGTGAGAGAGGAGTAAATCAGGAATTCTTTTAGTTTTAGTAAAAACTCGAAGTACCATAGTACTTGGTACAGAAAAATTAGGTGATTTGCCTAAAATCACGTGGTTTGCTCGCAAGGGCAGAGTCTGAACTCCAAGCCCTAAATTTCTGATCTGAAAGTCCTTGCAGCCCTATCCTGACTCTAGCTTCCTGGGCAGGTGTGGAGGGAGTACAGCAGTGGATCCAGCATTCAAGTGAACTCTACGGTGTCCAGTCCCTTGATTGCTAGGCCTAGCTCATTCCCTTCCAGGTTAACAGAGGAAATGAGCTCCTACTGGAAATGAGGGCAATGAAACATAAGAAATAAGATCAATCTGGGAAGGGGGTGTGGGTCCTGTAGCTTCCTTCCCTGACAGACACTACAGGACCTTCCAACTTAGGCCCAATTACAGCCTAGGCTGCCAGGTGTGCAAAATCATGGGCCTGGCTCCAGCTTTTTGACAGCATACTTACAGATGGGGAGTGACAAGTGTCCTGCACCAGGCTTTTTATCTGCCAGAGCGGGACTGTCAGCCTGTCAGTGGCTTTAGCTTCACACGGGGGGGCGGGGGTGGGGGCGGGGGGCCGCGGGGGGGCCTCCTGCTCCATGCCCAGAGAATACCGTTTCCCCAGCACAAGATTTTGGGGTGTGGGGCTGGCAAGAGGAGACGGGGGGTCGGGGCAAGTCCTCAGTGGTCAGCCTATGCCAGAGCCTGCGGCCCTCAACGAGAAAAGGCGGGGAGGGAAGGGGCTGGGAGGGCGCCCCAGGCCAAGGCTGCGGCGGGCGGGCAGTCGGGCTGGCAGCTGCACGCCAACCCCTAGGAAGGCTGGGGAAGCCGGACTGACCAGCAGATGGGGTGACGGGAAGTCGCCTGTGCGCCTCTGCCATCCTTTCCTCCCGTCCCGCAAGTAGACTCCCCCGCCCGGGACGCCCCGAGCCACTCCGCGCCTTTGGCCCTGGCTCAAGGTCTTGTGACGTGATTAGCAAAGCCAGCGCCTTGTCCTCAGACTCTCAGCCCTACCCCGCAGGCCCGGGAGTTCAGGCCCTGTTTACTGCCGCCTGGGCGGGGAGGGGGGCGGGGAAACCAGCCGAGGCTCCTCCCGACGAGAGTGCCGCGGCAGCCGCGCGCGTCGCCGCCCCCGCCCCCACCGTGTCTCCACGTGCAGTCGGGACAGAGCCTCCACCCTCCGCATTCAGGCCCGAAGCCCCCACCCCACCCAACCCTCCGGCCGCAGAACACTGCAAACCAGTGGGGCCGCGCGGACGGTTGCATTTTGCAATTCCCGCGGCCGGTATAAAACTCAAGGTAGAAGATAAAAGCTCCGCAATTTCGTCTAGCAGGATCGGGCGGGGAAAGACACGTCCAGGGCTGCAAAACCCCGGCCACGTTAAACGTGTCGGGGATTTCCCACAGTGCAGCCCCAGAGGAGGGGAGCCGTTCTTCCCGCCGCCACCCAGCAGCACCCATCTGGACCGAGCTTTCCAAGTCGCCCCGGGCGTCGCTGTAGCCTGCCCCGCCCCGAGGCCCCTTCGCCCCCTCCCGAAGAGGAAAAAAATTGGCGGCGGCCAATGGGAAGCCAGGAAGGTGCCTGACGTCTGCGAGCCGCGAGCCGGCGGGCGGCGTTGCCTGGAGACCTCAGCGGGGTAAGAGCTCTGTCCCCTCCCCCGACACGCCCGCTCAGCGGCTGCCGCGCTGCGGGACTCTATATAGTGCGCGAGCTCGCGGGCCCTCGAGTTCCAGCAGTTTGCTAGCTGCCGTCGGCTCCGCGCGGGGGGCGGGCCGGGTACCCCGGGGCGCGGAGAAGCGCTCTTTGCTTCTCTTTCCTTTTCCCCCACGCCGTACTCCTGGGCACCCCTCAAACCAGTCCACTCTGCTTCTCTCTCCCTCTTCTCGTCCCCAGCCAACTTTCGGTCCTTCCCCCGCCCCTCTCCCGTTATTCGTCGTGGCTCGAGCTCGGCCGCGCCGCCCCGAGGGTTTTTTCGGACCTCCCTGCCTGCAACTGCGACCAGTACAGAATCGAGAAACATGTCGACCACACTTCTGTCCGCCTTCTACGATATCGACTTCTTGTGCAAGGTACGCAGGGGAGCAAGGCGGGCAAGCAGGAAGCCCTTCGACTTTTCAGACTTTGCTTTCTGTCCTCGGCTTTTGAGGGACCCCCTTCCACCTTGACTTTTTGGGGTCGGAGAAAAATTCCGAAGTTTGTAGAGGTGGTTGCTCGTGCCTTGTGGGCGGGGAGAAGCAGGGAGAGAGGAAGGGCTGGAGGGAGCGGCTGTAGCTGTTTAGTTTCCTGCCGGCCGACCGCGGCCACGCTCCCCGGGGCTTCCCGGACCGAGTTTGCGCCGCCCAAGCCGGCGGCCCACGGGCTGAGGATCACGTGTCGAAACCCAGCGCGGCCTGGAGTGGGAGTCCGGCTCCTACCAACGCGAACTTGATTTTCTTTTTTCGTGTATATGGGCGGAGGGGGTGGGGTGGGGGTGGGGAGGCCGAGTCGAAATCCGCGAAAAGGAAAAAGAATTGGAAGACTGGCGGTTACTCTACAACTCGCCCCAACTCTTCCCCCCCCTTCACCCTTTTTCATCCCTTCCCCGCTCCCCTCCTTTTGGCAGACGGAGAAATCCCTGGCCAACCTCAATCTGAACAACATGCTGGACAAGAAGGCAGTGGGGACGCCCGTGGCCGCCGCCCCAAGTTCGGGCTTTGCCCCGGGCTTCCTCCGACGGCACTCGGCCAGCAACTTGCACGCGCTCGCCCACCCCGCGCCCAGCCCCGGCAGCTGCTCGCCCAAGTTCCCGGGCGCGCCTAACGGCAGCAGCTGCGGCAGCGGGGCGGCCGGCAGCCCGGCCTCCTACGGCACCCTCAAGGAGCCGTCGGGGGGCGGCGGCACGGCCCTGCTGAACAAGGAGAACAAATTCCGGGACCGCTCTTTCAGCGAGAACAGCGAGCGCAGCCAGCACCTCCTGCACCTGCAGCAGCAGCAGAAGGGGGGCGGCGGCTCCCAGATCAACTCCACTCGCTACAAAACGGAGCTGTGCCGGCCCTTCGAGGAGAGCGGCACGTGCAAGTACGGTGAGAAGTGCCAGTTCGCACACGGCTTCCACGAGCTGCGCAGTCTGACCCGCCACCCCAAGTACAAGACAGAGCTGTGCCGCACCTTCCACACCATCGGTTTCTGCCCTTACGGGCCGCGCTGCCACTTCATCCACAACGCGGACGAGCGGCGGCCCGCGCCGTCGGGGGCCGCCTCCGGGGACTTGCGCACGTTCAGCGCGCGTGACGCGCTGCACCTGGGCTTCCCTCGGGAGCCGCGGCCCAAGCTGCACCACAGCCTCAGCTTCTCTGGCTTCCCGTCGGGCCACCACCAGCCGCCTGGGGGCCTCGAGTCGCCGCTGCTTCTCGACAGCCCGACGTCGCGGACGCCGCCGCCGCCCTCCTGCTCCTCGGCCTCGTCCTGCTCTTCGTCAGCTTCGTCCTGCTCTTCCGCCTCGGCGGCCTCCACGCCCTCTGGCGCCCCGACGTGTTGCGCCTCGGCGGCGGCGGCGGCGGCAGCAACGGCCGCCATCCTGTACAGCACAGGGGGCGCCGAAGACCTGCTGGCATCTGGTGCTCCGTGCACTACCTGCTCGTCTGCCTCGTGTGCCAACAACGCCTTTGCCTTCGGTCCGGAGCTGAGCAGCCTCATCACGCCGCTCGCCATCCAGACCCACAGCTTCGCCGCGGTGGCCGCCGCCTACTATCGCAACCAGCAGCAGCAGGGCCTGGTGCCCCCCACACAGCCCCCGGCGCCACCCAGCGCGCCCCTCCCTGCCAGTGCCGCTGCGCCACCCTCGCCACCTTTCAACTACCAGCTGCCATGCCGCCTGTCCGAGTCACCCGTGTTCGATGCGCCCCCTAGTCCTCCTGACTCGCTGTCGGACCGCGACAGCTACTTGAGCGGCTCCCTGAGCTCGGGCAGCCTCAGCGGCTCCGAGTCCCCCAGCCTCGACCCCGGCCGCCGTCTGCCCATCTTCAGCCGCCTCTCCATCTCCGACGACTGAGGCAAGAGGGCGCCAGTGAGGAGGAGGAGGAGGAGGAGGAAGGGAAGGCCGATGGGGGGGGTGTTAGGGGGTTCCCTTGCCATCTCGCCCGTGCTAGGGAGTTGGGGAGGTGATAAAGGCCACAAACAGACTGCAGGCTGGACCGAGCCCTTGGACTCGAACTTGTGTGCCAGGAGGGGCCCTGCCCCTCCCCTTTCGGTTTCCTCTTGTTTTGTTTTGTTTTGTTTTTTTATTATTTTTATTATTATTACGAAGTGTCATTGTTGAGCAAAAAAAAAAAAAAGCCAACGAACTTTTTGTATTGATGAACAAAATATTCACAACTGGGCAGTTGTGATGCGAATAGAACAAAAAAACACATAAACTTTCTAAACTTTAGGTCTCAGATGAGTTTGGGACTTTAGGAAAAATCAACCCAGCACCAGCAGCTACCAACCACCATTCCATATCTTCACTTGAAAAGCATTAGTTACAGTCCAGATGTGGGAACTTTTATCTTGAAAGAAGTTCCTTATTGTTGCTCGTCTCAGACCAGTGTAAACAAACCAGCCAAACCACCACCTTGCTGAACCTATAAGCTTTTAATATTCTGCCAAGAATATGCCTTGATAGTAGGCTCCATACGTTTGTTGTTGTTGTTGTTGTTGTTTTTTTTTTTTGGGTTAACATGTGTCTGGAAGAAGAAAAACCTTGCATTCCAAAGTTTCATACTGGGTTACTGGTTTCATTGCCACCACTTAGTGGATGTTTAATTTAGAACCATTTTGTCTGCTCTCTCTGGAAGCCTTGAGCAGACCTTAGTTTGTAATCGTTGGTGAATAACTGCTGAATTTTTAGCTGTTTTGAGTTGATTCGCACCACTGCACCACAACTCAATATGAAAAAACTATTTAACTTATTTATTATCTTGTGAAAAGTATACATTGAAAATTTTGTTCATACTGTATTTATCAAGTATGATGAAAAGCAATAGATATATATTCTTTTATTATGTTAAATTATGATTGCCATTATTAATCGGCAAAATGTGGAGTGTATGTTCTTTTCACAGTAATATATGCCTTTTGTAACTTCACATGGTTATTTTATTGTAAATGAGTAAAAAAATCTTAATTTAAGAGATTGTATGTAATATTTATTTCATTAATTTCTTTCCTTGTTTACGTAAATTTTGAAAGATTGCATGATTTCTTTACAGAAATCTATCTTGATGCTGTGGAAGTAGTTTAAGGAATATCTTAAGAGTTTTCTTAGAATGTATAATGGTTGCAGCCCATCCAACTTTAAAGAAAAGACGACCACATACTTTGCAGTCAGATCAAAATGTGGCATGCTTTTCTCATTCCAACTTTATAAATTAGCAAGAGTGTTTTTGCTTATTCCACCAGTTCTACTGTGACATACTGTGCATATAAAAACATGTAGCAATAATGGAGGGTAGTCTCTCACCGTGCCTTGGAAGGGCCAGAACTAGCCTTAAAACTTCCTCAACCAAATAAGTATTTTGTTTATTAGTGCTTGAGAGAATTTGAATGTAGGATGGGTTCAACTGCACAAAAGGAAAAGATTTTTACCACTTTTTTTTATATAGATAAAGTGAAGAGGCCACCTCTTAGTGCTAAAATAATAGTACATATTACATGAATATGCCTTGTTTAATTACAGGAAATTCCAAAACTTGTACTATTTTTTTTTCCCCATGTAGAAAGGCAGGAATGCTTTCCTGAAAAGTGGATGAATGAGCAGTAGCTTTAGTTTGTATGTACGTAGGTACAGTTGGAGCACTATGTATTTATGTACTCTGGACTACTTTAACAGAAGTAGGTATTTGAATGTAACAGGATAAGTCAACTTGAGTTGTAATATACTTTGGGGAATCAGTTCACTACAAATTGTGACTGTAAACATTGTACTGTAAATGTTTTGTAGTTTCCCCCAATAAAAATTTTGGGAAAAAAAAAAGTTAAGCATGTGTAAGATAGCCTTCTTATTTTTAATAGGAATATGTAGCTTCCCATCATTTTATCAGACCTGACCCAGCTCTCAGGGGTTGGGGGCTATGGTTTAGAGAGCTGGCAGAGCCTGCCCCTTCGTGTTTTATAGTAAGCTCTTAAGCTAGAAAGTAATTATTTGGACTGTCAAGGGCATTAGTTAGCTGTTCCCCTTGGTAATAAGATGCATCCCAGCGTTGGCTGGTGGCAAGGCCTGGCTGAGAGGCCTGAGGGGTGTGGCTCGCCTGTGAGTCACCGAGTGGATCACGTGCCTACAGTGGCAGCTGAAGGTCTGAATTTTTTTTTTTTTTTTTTTTTTTTTTTGTGGCTGGGACGCCTGGGGAGCAGAACTACTTGGGTGGGGAAGGGTAGAGGGTCTAACCCGCCAGGCTGCAGGTCCGGTCTGTAAAGTGCTGAACTTGGGGGGTGGAGGGGAGTGTTGGTAGGCCTGCAATTTGCTTGGACTTTGGAAAACCTGATTGTGTCCTTGTCCAGAGAGGAGGGAAAGGGACAGAAGATGAAACAGGTTAAACTTATATCTGGGTAATGTTTGTTTATGCGGACAGCTTCCTCTGGGAGAGAGCACGCATGTTATTTATGCAAAAGGCCTAGTGTCTGCTTCAGACGGCTGAGTGGCCAGAAAGCAAATGCCAGGTCTCTAGAAAAAGAAAACCTAGCAGTTTACTGATTCCTAATGTAGTTAAACAAAACCTTAGTACTTTTTTCCTACAATCCCCTTGAAAATGTAAAAAGCAGGTTCATAAATCATGTTTTTTCTTCATCCTTCTCCCCCTACCCACCCCCCCAACTCACAGTTCAGGCACTTTTTTCCCCAAGTAGGTAAGAGATTTAGCAAGTTTGTTTTCTTATCTACAACAGCTGGGCTCTATCAACCAATACTTGCATCCCCGCTCCCTGTGTCTCACAGCTGAGCTGGGAGGGGTGGGGAGCAGCCTGCAGCCCCCCTGGGCTTCAGGCAGCTGTTTCACGTTAAGGATGATTGCGCTGGTGTTAGCTGGAGCGCTTTGGTGCTGGGCGCACGCTGCCAAAGGGGATGAGGAACAGTTTCAAAGTTCTCCCAGATGCCCGGCCCTTGGCTGAGGGCCTCAGCAGTGGGGGAGGGGAAGCCCGAGGCCGAGGAGGGCTCTCCAGTGAGGGCCCTGCAGGCTCCCTGGCCGCCTCCCCATGAAGAATGTGCAACGGGGAGGAAAAGTCTAAAATGTGGTGCTATTTAGGCCAGGCTGTGTTTCAAAGGCCTTGTTTCCACTTCATTCCAAAACTTATTTTTCTTAAACAAGCACTTTTGATCAGCTGGAATGTTAGACTTCTTTTTGGGGTAAGCCACATTTATTTTTCAAAATTGGTTTGTTTGCAAGCCCAACTGCTAAGAGCTGATGTTTTTGTATTTTAGACCCAGTGGAGCGTGGACAACTGGGGGGGAGTCATTCAGAAATTTCCTCTTGCCGCAGATCAATGGAGGGTATGTTGGTCATTGTCTTTGCAGAGAATTCACAGCACACATAACTCTCGACTATTACATGGTCACCCTTAGGAAAGTTTTCACATAAATTAAAGGAAGGAGAAGTAACAAACTGCAAGTAAAGACAAGCCAGGATTCCTATCACAGGCTGGGGAGAGGGGGAGAGGAACTAAAACTGACTGTGGCTCTAAAATTCTGTTACACTCAAGATAAAATTCTTTTGTAGTCAGTTGGGAAAATGAGCCCAGAATGTGATGGTTTAGAATGTCCCAATAGTGTGGCATTTCCTCAGACTGAAAAAGTAAGGTGTTTTTTAAACAACCCAATTAGTGTGCACCACCTTCTAAATTATTTCAGAGAAGGGATGCATGCGTGGACATATTTTCCACCACTCATTCTGTCTGAATCTACTGCTGAGGGCATAAAAGGAAAAACACACACACACACACAAAAAAACTATTGAGAAGGCCAAAGCTCTGCACCCGCCCATGGGAATAGATGGAGGATTGTGAGCTCTGCAGCAGCTCAGGAACCCGGATGAAAGGGCCAGGCCTGGGGGGGCCCAACGCAGTTAGGACGAGCAGGCGTCGCTCTTGGCTGCAGGTCTGGCCCAGCACTAGGAATGCTCAAGTTTAAATTCTGCCTCGGGGGGGGTCTCAGAACCTTACCCCCCAGAGCTGGATGTGTGCAGCAAGGAACCCCGCTAGAGAGCATGTGAACCTGGAAGGAAACCGTCCCCAGGTACTTACTCTTCAGTTTTTCTTGTGGTGACAACAGTGAGGGCAGATGTGACTCTGTTTTGAAAGCGGAAGTTGGGTCTCGGTGCCTTTCTTGGCCTGGTGAGTTAGTGGGAGCCAACTCGGCCCCTGGAGGCTAAGCCGAGGCCAGGCCTGTAGCCACTTTCCATTGTTGTTACCTCATTTAATTGTGTTTATCTTTTCTTGTTCACACTCCAGGAGACGTGCAGACCTGTGGCCATCCAGGGCAGGTCCAGTTCCCTGCCGCTGGCAAGGCCAAGGAGGGAGGGAGGAAGAGGGGGAGGGCCAGGGAGGAGCCAAGGCCTGGCAGCTGGACAGGCCTGCCCAGGAGGAGCCCTGCGGGAGGAGGCGGGCGGGGGCCTGGGCTGCAGGAAGCCACAACACCTCCAGGGCCCACATCTGCCTAGGTGGGTTCTTCCAACCTCCCCTGACAGTTTGTGCTAGGCCATGAGTGTGTATGTGTCTGAGGGTATGTCTGTCTGTGCGGAGGGGGGCCTGTGGGCGTGCATTCATATGGAGGGTGTTTATGTGGGTGTATCTGTGCCCTTGTCTCTGTCGTTGAGGGTGCCCATGTTCGTGGGCATTGCTCTGTGCAGGGGCTCAAGAGTCTGTGCGGTGCTCTCGCGGGAGAGCACTGGTGTATGGGGCTGTGCGTGGATGCGTGGATCTGTGTGGCTCTTGGCATGTGTGTGAAGTGTGCATGTCTGTAGGGGGTGAGAGTCGGTGGGTGAAATGCGCAGAAACCTGTGGATTTGGGCGTGAGTTGCTGTGCATGTGTGCCTGTGGGGTGTGGATGTGGGCTTGGGTCCATCTGCTTGTGGGGGGTGGGTTTGAGTGTGTCTTTTGCTCTGTGTGTGTAGGGGTGTGTGTAGATCCGGGTGTGGGTGTGGGTTTGGGTGTGCCCGTTGCTGGGGGTGGCTGTGTCTGCACAGCTGACGCTGTGTGGGTGTGTCGTGTGGGTCTGTGGGATGGGCAGGAGGACCTGTCAGTGTTGCTGTATGTTTGGGTCTGGGGGGCTATGTGTGTGCGTCCGTCCATGTGGGGCGGGGTGTCAACACCTACAGAGGAAAAGCAGCCCTTTTTAGCAGGCCTCTTTCAAGTTAAAAACTGCTTTCAAAACCCGGAAATGATGGCCAGGCTGTCATCTGCTTCCTGCACGGTGGTGGGCAGAACAGGGCTGAGCGGGAGGGCGGCCATCAGGCCTCCGGCCTGCCGGGACCCGGCCCGCCTCACTGCGCGGCACACTGGCCACGGGCAGGCCGCCGGGGCCTGACTAGAGGGACATATTTAGGAACAATTAATTCTTGGTTGGAGGAGGAAGGGGCCCATTTATTTTCATCTGTGCAGAAATAGCTCTTGTCAGATAGGAGTTCTTGTGCCCTCTGGGTGAGAGGCAACTCTGAAATAGAAGGAAAGATATTAAAGACTTTAGGCAGACAAGAAAACTCCTAAACTTGCTGAAACCAAGTTGAAAATATTTCTCTAAAAATAAGCTTTGTTTTCCTTGTGGATTCCTCTGGCAATCGGGCCCTTGTGTCGGGGTGCTTAGCTGGCCTGGGAAGCCAGGCGGAATTTTTTAAAAAGCAAGTGTTTCCCAGCTGTGGCCTTGGAAAGTTCTCTGTTTTCCATTTATTAAACTCCTAGTTTCCGGCTAATTAAAATTATTTTCAAATAAAACTCCCTGGCCCAGCAATATTTGATGAAACACAGAATTCCCAGTGACCCTCTCCCCTCCCATCCCCCTCCCCTTCCCCACCCCCCACTCCCCCGCGACAGGAGGTCTGGCCGGCTGTGGGGTGGCCTGTGACCCCTCCACTGGACCAGTGCTGGTTTAACCAGAAGGAGGGAGGCCTTTGAAGTGCATGCCCAACGCCTCCTCTTCCCAAACCCCACGGCTCCTGTGGTGACCAGGTGAGAAGCTGCTTGCGGGGCAGTCTACAGGCTTTGCACCACTTGTCAAGGGGCTGCGGGTCCCTGAGAACCTGCCGTTTCTTGTCCTGTGACCCTGAGCAAAGAAGGGGTGCACTTGGTGATGCTGTGCTCTCTGGCCTGGCTCCTGTTGAAGATTCAGGTCCAGTCTGGCCAATGTGCCGGACTTCACCGAGCACCTACTGGATGCCCAGACTCCCAAGGCAACATGTGAAGAAGGAAATCAGAGATGCTGCAGGCGGGAGGCCTGTATTGCTGAGGGCTGGGCTGGTGTGATTCGAGTTGCTGGCAGGTGCCCGTCACTGCCCTGGCGTTCAGTCCAGACATCCCAGGGGTGGGATGCTGCGGGTACCGACAGGACCTTTCATTCATCCCACAGGTAGCTCGGGATTGCCCAGGAAATGGCTGCACAGGGGTAACAGACGACCTGACAGGTGCCATCCCTGCCTTCATGGAGTGTACGTAATGAGTTCAAGGTTCATGCACAATGTAGCTTGAATCAGGATTCATTCCTTTGTATGGCAGCATAATGCTCCATTATGTGAATATGCCACATGTTTATTTATTCATTTGAGAGACATTGGAGTTGTTTTTTCCTTTTGGCTATCGTTGAGCAATGCTCCCGTGGACATCCATGTATATACTTTTTGTGTAAATGTGTTTTCAATTCTTTTGGATATATACCTGGAAGTAGAATTGCCAAATCACTCCACGGTTTAAATTTTTTAGGATTGCCATACTATTTTCAAAAGTGATACAGTGGTTTTTGTAACTATTTAATTAATGTGTGTTTCCCCTACTCAGCCTGATGCATGCTCTATGATGTCCACATAAGGAAACAGAACACACATGCGCCCTGGCTGGTGTGGCTCAGTGGATTGAGCGCCAGACTGTGAAGCAAGGGGCTACTGGTTCGATTCCCAATTAGGACCCATGCCTGGGTTGCAGGCTAGGTCCCCAATGGGGGATGCGTCAGAGGCAACCACACGTTGATGTTTCTCTCCCTCTCTTCCTCCCTTCACCTCTCTCTAAAAATAAATAAATCTTTTTTAAAAAAAGAAAGAAAGAAAACATGCATGCTTTGGCTAGTGTGGCTCAGTGGGTTGCGTGCTGGCCTGCCGGTGAGCCAAAAGGTTGCCAGTTAGATTCCCAGTGGGTTGTGGGCCAGGTCCCTGGTTGGGGTGTGTGAGAGGCAGCCAATTAATATTTCTCTCGCAAATTGATGTTTCTCTCTCTCTCTCTCCCCGCCTTCCTTCCCCTCTCTCTAAAAATAATAAATACAACCTTGTAAAAAAAATTTTTTTTAATTTTTAAAACTTTTAAAAAGCACACTCACAAACTGAAATTGGGGTGTGAAAGGGAAGGGCAGAGACTGAGAGAGCCTCTGTCAGGAAAACTGGCCTCACTTAGGATCTGGGAAGCTTCTGAAGAAGCAAGAAGGGCATAGGGCAAGTAACAGCAAGGCTAAGGGCCAGCAGAAGAGTTTTCCAGGCAAAGAGAGCCGCTAGGTGCTCGCTTCAGCAGCACGTGGACAAAAATTGGACGATAGAGAGTAATCGGCATGGCCCCTGCGCAAGGATGACGGACACAGTCGTGAAGCGTTCCACATTTTTTAGGTACTGGAATTGCTCTGGTGATCACTATGTAAGGCATGTCGATGTCAAATTGCTATGCTGTACACCTGAAACTAATAGAAAACTGTATGTCAACTCTAATTTCTTTTAAAAAAGGAGCAGCTAGTGCAAAGGCCCTGGGGTTAGAGGGAGCACGGCTCCGGAGAGGAGAGCGAAGATGAGCACAGCACGGGGCGGGGGGGTGGGGGGGGGCGTAGGATGGAGCAAAGTGGCGCAGGCTGGGGCTGGGGCCGTGGGCTCAGCGCTCAAGTGGCCACGAGCCTGCCCTCTGCCCCCTGCAGTTCCTGTATGAGAGCACCCTATTGTGATGATTTCTACAGAAAAGTCATTGGGCCCTTTTACCCCAGAGCTGAGTAGCTTATCACCGGTGGAAAGAGCCGGGACTCTGGAGCCAGAGGTGGGGAATGTTGCTGCCAATTACCCACTGCGTGGCCTTGAGTACAGTTCACCATCTCTTTGAGCCTCCATTTCTCCATTTGAAAAAAAAAATGGGTTAATCTATTGTCCTTGTTTTTGTTATAAAGATTAAGTGAGGTAATGTTTGCCAAATGCTTTGCCCAGTACCTGGAGGTAGTAAGTGTTCAGTCAGAATTAGCTGGCTATTACTATTACCATTATGCTTCACCATCTTCCTCTTCCCTCTCTCCCCCAGCTCCGACTCGCGGGTCTCCAGGTCGGAATGCCTGAAAGGTCCTAATAGTGACGCTTTATGGAGCGACTATTATGTACTAAAGCTTTATGTATGTTACCAACAGCCTGTGTGTCTACCCAAGACTGAGGGGACTATTCCTGCATCCTAGTTCCAAGATAAGAAAACTGAGCTCAGAGAAGTTACATGCCCGAGGCCAAGCAGCTGGGAAAAGGTTGAAGCAGAATTCAAAGGGATCTAACCTGTTGCTCCTTCAAATCGCCTCAGGCTGCCTCTCTGACTCCTCTCTCCCTGCCCTACTCCCACACCGTCCCTCTGTAAGCCCAGATTTCCACACCTACGCTTTAAAAACACAATTAGTTCAAGTCATCTTTTGCTCAGAATCCTCACCGGGAATAAATCAACAATCTTAGCAAAGCCTACGAAGTCCTACATTATCTGTAGGCCTCGAGCCCAGGGACCTGACTCTCGCTTCATGATCCTGCTCGGCCACGCAGGCCCCCTTGCTGTCTTCAGTCTTGCTGGGCCTCCTCTCTGTCTCAGGGCCTTTGCACTCGCTGTTCCCTCTCTCACACTCTTCTCCATGGCCTGTTTCCTTCAATTTCTGCTAAGTGTCACCTTTTCAGGGCCCACCCAGACCACTCTTTCTAAAACAACAGCCCCATCTGGCATTTCTTCTCACTCATCCTGCTTTATTTTCCCTAGCATTTGTCAGCCTCCCAGTGACATACTTTTTAAAATTTGTATTTATTGACTTGAGAGAGAGAGAGAGAGGGAAACATTGGTTTGTTGTTCCACTTATTTAAGTATTCATTGGTTGTTTCTTGTATGTGCCCTGCCCAGGAATCAAACCCGCAAACTTGGCGCATCGAGATGAAGCTCTAACCAACTGAGCTGGCCTGCCAGGCTCCTATGACATAGTTTAAATGCTTTTGCGCATATATATATATGCTTCCTTCCTTCTTAGACTCTAAGCTTCAACCTCATCACTCAATCTGAAGAGCATCAGGAAGGTCCCCTTCTGCCCCCACCAAACTCTCCCAACCACACAGTTCTTAAGATAAAAGTGGAAACTGCTTTCCTTTCGAAATTCTAGGTAGAGCTGCACTGTCCCGTATGGTAGGTACTAGCCACATGGGGCTATTTAAAACTCACTTCCTCAATCTCACTAGCCACATCTCACGTGATCAGTAGCCACATGAAGGTAGGGACTACTGCACAGAACAGAATGGACTGCATCCATCACCACAGAAAGTTCTGGTGGACAGCATTGTTGTTCTAGAATGTTCCATGAAAACACAAACAACTGTAGGGAAGGAAGGCTCTATCGTCCAACCCTTGAAAGGTTGTCTTTCTCCAAAGCAAGTCCTAGGACACAACCTCCCCTCAGAGGCGAAGAGAGTCCAGCGTATTTATTCCCAAACATCATTTCTGTCCAGGAGACGACATGTGCCAGTTGTGAGGGGCGGGGGAATGAAGGGACTGCCCACTGTGTGGTGGCACCTCACAGCCCCACCCAGTCGCCTGGGACCTGCCTCCTCACACCTGGACGTTGACCCCTCACACCAAGCCCTCCCAGGGTCCGTCTCCACAGCCGCGGTGCCTCATCCACCCAGGCACCCGTGGCAGACCATGGCATCCCCTGCAGTCTTTCTTGAGCTTCCCTCTCCCTCTAGGCTGCCCGTCGTGACAACTGCTGTCTAACCACGTCCAGGCACTGCGTCCTCTTGCCTATCTTTACTGACTCAGACCCTCAGGCTCCCCCTCACACCAGGCAGCAGGTGAACCAGGAGCCCCAGAGGCACTTCCCAGCCCCCACCGCCACCCCCCCAGAGCCAGCTTCTAAAACACTTAAGTGATCATGTTCTTCCTGCCCAAGGACCTTGAAGGGTTCCCTCACCCCCGGTTCAAACCCAGGCTTCCGAACACGCTCTCTGAGGCTCTGCTCGGTGCTCACCCCTCCTCCATTGCCCTGGAGCACTGCTGACATCCCCCCCACCCCCACCCCACTTCCTCAGCCTCAGCTGAGTCTCAGCCTCACCCCTCCACCTACCCAGCCCCCGCCCCCAGGGCCCCTGGGCAGGACTTGCTGAAGCACAGAGCTCATCGCCCTTCCTACACCTCTGTCTCCCTAGCCTGGGCGTTCCTTCAGAGAGAGAACGGTCACGTTCCTCTTTGTACATCCCAGCCTGCCTCTTAGAAGGGCCTTGATAACTGTGCAAAGGAACCAGACACTAGGAGAGTGGGACTCTTCTCTCCTCTTTGACAGATGAAGGAAATGGAGCTCAGAGAAATAAAGACACTTGTCCAAGGTCTCCCAGCTCATGAAACGACAGGGCCACGACGCCACCCACAGCTGCACCCCATGTCAGGGCGGGACGCCCCAGCCATTCACAGGAGGAGGGGGGAGACCGCACTGCTCCTTGGCAACGTGGCCTCCTGTGGAGTTTTTCTTGTCCTGAATATCCAAACTGTAGGCATTGAATCCCAATACTAACAAACGGAAAAGTCCCTCCTAACCTTGCTCCTCAATCCCACTCAGCAGAGCTGGCCGCTTGGTGGCTGCTTGGTAACCGCTTTGTGTGAGGAGTCCCAGAAATATGATCGTGCGCCTCTCTCTATAAATATTTACACACACACACATTCATACGCGGTATTGGTTCACGGAAGGGGGCCGCACTGCACCTCCCGGCCTCACTCGGCGAGCCCGCACCTCCTTTCACCAGCCACGCGGCGATCCGCTCATGGGGCCCAGGGCTGGCCACCAAGGCTCTGCGCTTTTTCCCTTTTGGGCACGTCCTTACACACAGACCCCTGGGTGAGTGCTTCCATCAGGCGATCCCCAGAGGCAGCATTACTGAGATGTGGGGCGGCTCCCATGTTTCCATGGAGATGATATATACTTAAAGCGTTGAAACCTGCCATCCTAGTAACCCTCCAAAAATGTTGCACTACGGGCCCCTCCCCCCTACCTCTCTCATTGTCTCAGAGACCATATCTACCCCAGATCACTCCCTGCATGGCTGTTCTGAACTTCTGGAGTCCGCGTAACAGGGGCTGCACCCAGGCGTCAGGTCTTTCTCTGTGTCCTGTCCTGCTCCCTAGTCCTCCAGTGGCTAAGCCCCCTCTCCCCGCCGCCTCTGGGCTCTTGGGGGGCAGCTCATGGCTGTCTACCCCCCAGGTTGGTGCCAAAGATCGAGGCTGCCCCCTGGAGCCCCCAGCAGGTGGGTCAGTCTCGCCAGGCGCAGGGCACCCGGGGCTGGAGGGCCAGGAAGTGGGAAGACTCTCCCACTGAAATCGTGACCGTTGGTGGGGGCAGCAGAAATCCTCCCAGGACAACAGTGTTGCCCGGGGAGGGTGCAGGCGTGTAGGTGTGAATCTGTGAGGGCGTGCGGGTGAGTGGGCTCTGTGCAGGAGTGTGAGTGTGTGCCAGGGAGCGTGTGTGTCTTCGGGCGGTTGTGTCAGGCGTTATGTAACGGAGGCGCTCCCTGGGGCCGACAAACCGCAGTGGTGTAACCGCCAGCCGGCTGGGTCACCAGAAGGAAAGGAGGGAAAATGTAAACACATGCTGGGCCTTTCCCTGGCCCACCACAAGCAGGCCCTGGACAGGGCTGCAATTCCGGTTCTCCGTTCCCACCCCCTGAGGCCCTGTGGGCTGGCCTGGGAGGGAGCGATAATGGAGGCGGTGGAGACGGAGGCCAAGGGTCGGGACAGAGAGGAGAGCCCAGCAAGGTCCACCTGGCTTCTCCTGGGTCTGCCACAGGCTGTGCAGCCCCCACAATGAGGCATGCTGGCCTTCTCACCCCTAGAACTGTTCTAGTCTCTCAAGTGCTTTGGTGGGGGGTGCCCCTTTGTCCCAGAAGCCTCTGCCTGCCCCGGGAGCCCAGCACCATGCAGGCAACCACCGCGGACTGGCTGCTCACCTGCTCCCCTCCTGGGGTGGCCTCAGGGTGCATAGGTGCCCTCCTCCCTGCACCCCACGCCTCATCTCCAGGCCAGCCGTGTGCCTGCCAGCCAGCTCCCAGCCGCCCAGCCCTTCGGCACCACACCTGAGGCTCTCTCTGCCAGGAATCCTCCCCTGTCTGTGCCAGGCCAGTCCTTTCTGTCTGCGCTGAACTCCTGCAGCACCTCTGGGCACACAGCTGACCCCTGGCCATGTACCATCGCCCGTTGTCCTCCAGTTGCTCATTTTAGTCATAATGGCCACAATTTACGCTGTACATTCTCTGCCAAACCTGGTCCCTTGAGGTGCCCTCATTAACACATATCCTCCCTCCAGCCCTAGAAGGTAGCATTCTTATCGCCACCACATAGTCAAGAACCCAAGAAG